CAAATATATGATGCTTTACCCAAAGAAATCTTAAAAGACACATTAGGAGGATCATGTACAAGCCTCTGCCATTTCTTCAATAATTGACTATTACATCCAAACTCTTCCAAATTAAAGCCTTTGGATCACTACCCATGGCAGGGGCATTGGAACTAGATGATCTTCAAAGTCCCTTTCAATCTTTTCTATGATTTAACAGGGTTCAGTTTTGCACAAATTCTGTTTTCTCATACAGATTCACAGATCTTTGAAAATTGGCCTTGATCTTTTGTTTATCTCTTTAAGATGCTCCTGAAGTTCTAGCAACCCTAGTGTGAAAGGGAGTTTTGTGTGGTTACCAATTCAGAGTTCTTGCACATATACATGAAATGTCAAGCCTTGCAGGGATATAATCTAATTCTTGTACTTTGAGAAGATTAATAAGGGGTTTATTAACCATTTGAGAAACCAAACTTATTTGTTAGTGAACAGAAATCAAGAAAGTGATATATGTGTTCAAAAAAACATTTCTGAAAGTATGGATTCCTTGGTAGTAGTGGATCTTTATTAAGAGTCATTCAGCATCCTTTTCTCCATTTGTTCAGTGTTTTATTTTCACAAATAGCTCCTGCCTGTTTGATTGTAGGTGGTTCAACAAGCTCACTCCCCTGTTTCTAGGGTGTGAGTGTTAAATCTGTGTGGCCAAGATGCGCCTGAAAGACCAGAAAATTCTCTCTCCAGATTTGTCAAAGGATATGAAGTTTGTTGATAAATGTAAATAAATTTCAGATCAGAGCTGGTTTTTCCTAACAAAGAATTGTCATGAGAGAGGTGTCATTAGGAAGAGAGAATTTTCATGTAACATATTTGAGCAAAGGAGGATTCAAATGCATTTGCAGCCCTTCTGGAAATGTACCAGGAAGATAAATATCCTCCTGAAAGCAAATACCTCACGTTGTCTTACCTCTGTAAACCATTCTGTTCTAAGGGAAGTCATCCTTCTTCAGATATGTGGAAGACTACTCTGATGTTTTAATCTTGGGTTCTTTGAATTGGCAGCTGGACTAGCTTGTTGAGTGAAAATTTTGGAAAAGGAAATATTTTACATTTCCTTACTTTTGAGATGCATCTGCAGCCCTGGAGAACAAGATATTGAAACAAGCTAAAGACATATCTTAGTGGACAGCAAAGGCCCAAGTGATCTCTCCAAAATCTGAACCTGTTATTCCAAGGACAATATTGCATTAAAATTTCCTGAACCCACTTTTACCCAGCTTGTGGATCACTATTTCTAAGAGAGCTGACGATTTTTGTCTGACAGGCCAAGATAACTTCCTGTGTCATATGAAAGTAAGTCATTCAATATGAGTCCTTCAACTTGGAGGTGTGTTATCTTAGAGCAACTGCCTACAGATGTATAAATATCTATTGAACAGTTATCCTGTTTCCTAGACGTTTTGTCTTTGTTTTTTTTTCTTCAGTTTTATCTGTTTCCAGGTTCTTGCTAAACTATTTTCATTTCATGCTCAAGATTTAGGTACTGAATGATCTAATCATGGAAAGATGCTTTAAAAAAAAAAAAAATCTACTTCCTCTGTTCTTTCTGTAGCTGAACTGATGTTCTTGGATTCTTTCAAAAGAAATCTTTTGAAGTAAGAAAGACTTGTCAACTCAAAAGTGTTTCTTTCAGAGGAAAGAACCTGGACTGAGAATAAGAGGAGGTATGAGAAGGACTGTTTTGCCAAAACTAATTAACTGCAGATTGTTTCTCAATGTGCCATTTTAATTCAGCGAACATGGAGGACTATATTGGCCCAAACTTACAAACAAATCATCAGAGAGACAAAAAGTAGACTCTTGCTGCAGTTCTCAATGTTTTTTTTTTCAGTTTGGGGTCCTGCCCTTCATTTCTATCAGTCTCAACTTGGGGCTACAAATACCTTAGGGAAACAAGAATTCAATTATCTTACAGTTCTACTCTTTTTTTTTTTTTTTTTCCCCTCCCTGGTGAAAAATACCGCTTTCTGTTACCTAACAGCTAATCGTTCCAAATTTCTAAAAAATATGATTTCCCATTTTTCAGTTAGGGTCCAAAACTGGTGAATTAATCTAATTAGGTGAATTAGAGAGATTTGGAATACATTATAAAGTATTGAAGTAATTTCTTTAACAAAAATAATTATTCTCTCTTTAATTCAGTTTTATGCCTGTGATTAATGTTTCATGTTTTGTTCTAATGCGTTGTTATAATATCTGTTAAATATTTGTGTTTTATTGTGGAAAATACGCACCTATAATGATGGAAATTTTGTTATACAGAAATGTGAAGACAATGCAAAAAAAAAAAAAAGAAATCAGTAAGAGTATTAATGAAGCTATTATACACTCGTGAGAGATATGAGGATATCTCCTTCACTGTCAGTTCTCATTTCTTATTTTGTATCTCCTTCACTGTCGGTTCTCATTTCTTATTTTGGAGAATTGTTCTGCATTTGTAAACTTCAAGTACACAGTATAAATTGTTATACACCCACCAAAGCTGCTCTGTCACTCTCCTCTGCAACTGGACAGGGGAGAGGAAACATAACAAAGGGTTCATGGTTTGAGATAAGGTCCAGGAGAGATCACTCACCAAATACCATCACGGGCAAAACAGACTCAATTAATTGAATGTATTACTGACAGAATCAGAGCAGGACAATGAGAAATAAAATAAATCTTAGAAACACCTTCCCCTCACTCCTCCTTCCTTCCCAAGCTCTGTCTCCTGCCTCCCCAGTGGCGCAAGGAGGTGGGGAATGGGAGTTATGGTCATTTCATCACAGGTTGTTCCTGCTGCTGCTCAGGGAGAAGAGTCTTTCCCCTGCTCCAGTGTGGGGTCCCTCCCATGGGAGATAGTCCTTCATGAACTTCTCTAACCTGAGTCCATCCCACGGGCAACAGTTCTCCGTGAACTGCTCCATGCTGGGTCACTCTTCCATGTGATGCAGTTCTTCAGGCACAGCCTGCTCCAATGTGCATCCCCCACAGGGTCATGAGTCCTACTAGGAAAAACCTGTTCCATTGTGAGTTCTTGTCCCCACAGGTCAGCAGGTCCCTACCGGGTGCCTGCTCCAGCATGGGTTTCCCACAGTTTCACAGTTCCCTCTTTCCAGCATCCACCTGCTCCAGCATGAGTCTCCTCCACAGGCTGCAGGTGGATGTCTGCATCCCTGTGATCCCCCATGGGCTGCAGGGGCACCAGGGGCACAGCTGCTCCACCATGGTCTGCACCACGGGCTGCAGGGGAACCTCAGCTCTGGTGCCTGGAGCACCTCCTGCCTCTCCTTCTCACTGACCTTGGCGTCTGCAGAGTTCTCATGTTCTCACTCCGCTCTTCTCTGGTTGCAAATCTGCACAATAACTTTCTTTTTTTTCCCTTCTTAAATATATTATCACAGAGGCGTTACCATAATTTCTTATTGGCCTGGCCTTGGCCAGTGGTGGGTCTGCCTTGGAGCTGTCTGGCACTGGCTCTGTTGGACATGGGGGAAGCTTCCAGCATCTTCTCATAGAAACCGCCCCTGTAGCCCCCCCACTGTCAAAACCTGGCCATGCAAGCCCAATACATGGGTCCTGACAGATGAGCTTGGTTTCTACCACCCAGTAGTAGCAATGTACTAGCTCTAGCAAAAGCCCATTAAGCTCAGTACCATGTACAATTTCTGCAATGAAGTGGAATGTCTTCTAACAGAGCAGAATCCTAGCAACACTAGACATAGACTACCACTAGTTGTGTGTTCTACTATTAGTGAATCAAGAAAGTGTTTTTAACCAAACCCAGACTCCAGTTTTTCCAGACTCAACTTTCTGTTGAATATAAACTCAAAATGTGTCCAATTTTTGAGGCTAAAGAATAGAAAGAAAAAAGGAGCTGAACTCTCTGTCCATGTAGAGAAAGATGTAAAGGTAGCCTCTTGATTTTTTTTTTTTTTTAATACTCTTTATACCAAATGACTCCATCCAATATGTATAAACCAGAATCTGGGACTCCACATGAGAGTGCATTCCTTCCATGTCTATAGAGATAAAACTCCTCTCCCTTTTGTGTGGGCTCTCTCATGTGCTCTGACCTTATGACTCTTGCATTTCTGTCTGTGCAGTGGCCTGTCTTCAGCGGGGAACAACTCCATTCCTACTTGATGGGCACTGGGGGAAGTGGACTCATGTCTCTCAAGTTGGGAGAGATATGAATGCAAGTTTCCCACTTCCTGGACCTGTGCTCTTACAATTGTGTACTAGAGACAGCACTCATCATAACCAACTGTTTTCTAAAGGGTTTCTGACTCAATAATATATAGAAGCTTTAGGAATGCTTTGTGCGTATCTATTGGATTAGACCCATTAAGGGATTTAGATGTGTGAATATTTAGTGTGTGAATCTCTTAATGATGTTAGGTAAGGAGATATCCTAACCAGGTTGCTTAGTTAAAGCTAGGCATAAGCTTCAGTAGGGAAAGTAATAACTAAAATTTAGGTATTCGGAAAATTTTTTATGGACAAAAATGTAAGTATTATGGGTGTGGAGTTTCTAAATCTAAACATCACGGTGTTTTTGCCTTCTGTACTTATCTAAAAATATCGTTGTGTACTTGTTAAAGATTTTACATTTATATGCAACTTATTCTAAGAGTATTCAAACTAATGTGAAATAATTAAAAAACCCAACTGTTTGGTTGGATCACATTTCCAGGGGCCTTACTTGGTAACTGCAGCACTTTTTACTGACATTATGTTTATTTTTACCTCTTACATATAACTGTAATGGGATAATAGACTTTTTTTTCCCCGTAATTATCTACATGTGTGCTATGAAGTTAGGTATTATTTGAACATTGTGATTCATAGGAATCATTATGTAATGTATCTTGAAGATGTGGAATCAAAAGCATTTTGATTTAAGCAACTCTCTTTTATTTAAGGAGTGTTACCTGTATACCCTTCCCAAGTTTCTTATTTTTTTCTTTAATTTTCCAATGCAGATAACAATACCCAGGCCTTCAGTGGCATCCACACAGTCTGCTTCAGAGAGCTTTCACTATGGCCACCAGCTGGAGAGAAGAGAACAGGATGGTCAGTCTGCGGAACACACTGTGGAACTTTCCTCTCCAAAAGAAAGTTTGCCAGGTGTGGTTGTGACAGAAGATGAAATTCCAGCTAGTGCCAGCAGACCAGATTTGGTACTTAATATCAGCCAACAGGTGCTTGATAGAGAAGGACTTGTCAAAGAAAGTGTCGATGTCCTGGACTGTGGCCAAAAGGACCTACCTGAACAACACAGTGGGATACATGAAGAGAATGAACTTGAAAATGTTCCTGTAGAGGAGACCGAGGAAGAAAGGCTTCCAGTGGTTTCTGAGGATGCCATTGAAATGTTAAGCAAAGAGCAGAATTCTTCTTTGCCAGGAAACTCAAAATCTGCGGAGGAAGAACCTCTAACAAATACTGAAGCTGCTGAAGAATCAAAGCCAAGGCCTGTCTGTTTGGTGCCAAATCAAGATGAGAGTCTGAAGTCAGTAGCACCTAAAGCATCAGAACTGTCTCCCTCAAGAGTTACTAACGCACATGTTAATAAACAGGCAAACAAAATAGCAACTGTTCAGGAAAATGGTTTTCATTCTGATAAGGAAGAAGTCCATAGCCAAGACTTGAAATGCCACCAAGTGGCCCTTACTACTTTTTTGCAGCAGGAGAACAAAAAAGAGAAAAATTCTCCCAGAAATGGAGAGTTATTCCACTGCATTTCAGAAAATGAGAATTCTTACCGATCCAAGAAGGACTCGGTTAAGTCTCCTTTTGTATTCAGGCAGAGCCGAATCCCAGTTTTAGCACAAGAGATAGACTCAATGTCAGATTCCTCTTCTGTTTCAGCAAAGGAAAAGCTTCTTCTAAAAAAGGCCCATCAGACAGACTTGGTGAAATTACTTATGGAAAAGAGACAGCTCAAATCTTTCCTTGGTGACCTCTCAAGTGCCTCTGATAAGTCACTGGAGGAAAAAATGGCTGCTGCTCCAGTACCATTTTCTGAGGATGATGTCTTAGCTTCATTTTCTAGATTGACACTGGACTCTCATTTCAGCAAGCAGAATGAAGATAGCTCTTTATCTCCAAGCAGTCCTCAGTCCAGAAAAAGCAAGATTCCAAGGCCAGTGTCCTGGGCAACCACCGATCAAGTCACTGGTTCAAGTTCAGCTCAGTTCTTTCCTCGGCCACCACCCGGAAAACCGCCTACTAGACCTGGGGTAGAAGCTAGGTAATGCAGAGAAAATAGAAATAGGTTTTTAGGTTGGAAATGAATTTGAGCTAGACTGCAGTTACTGTGCCGTATGTAATCCTGTAGAAGTTCCATCTTTTAACTAATTTAAAAAAAAAATGCTGGGTTTCAATTCTCTGAGAAATCTCACATTGTTGAAGATTGAATGAGAAGTTGTTACACAAGAATGACCCTGCTTCACCACTAAACCTTATACACCAAGATGTGCATTCAATATTTTGAAACCTGACAATCTATAACTAAATCTTTACAATTTTCTTAAAGAGGGGTCACTTTTATGGAACTGCTGATTATTCACAAACCCACAGAAATCTTAATAGGATCTGTTGTAGCCAGCCCCCTTGAAAATTAATCTGTTCTTAATGTAGACTTTTTAAGTATTTGGGTCTGGAGCCACCAGTAGAGTCCATTAGGTATGCTTAGATCATGGCTAAGTAAAACCAACTAATTAAGGAAGGCAGAGTGAATACTAGAACAAACCGCCTTTGCCACTTCTGTGTACAGACAACCATGATCTAGTTTCTTCAGTGCCTACATTCGCAGGACAAGGAGAATTTTGACACAGTGGTGCAAAATCCTTAGAAGGAAGTTGTGATGTGCTGTGTCATCCCTTAAAATTGTGTAAAATAGTGTACTGATGGTGTGGAGGGATGGCTGTACCTCTCTGAAAAAAAGGTGGTAAGCACTGCTCTTCAGTGCAGTACTTCCAGCACCACCAGGAAATTTTAGTTATCCTGTAAATGCTGAGGCTGTTTATGTGAGTGAGTTTATGTAAATATAAATACTGTGCTGATTTGAACAACACAGAAACCAAAGCCTAGATCCAAACACCTCTACTTTACAGGAAAGTTCAGCTCCACGTGTCTCTTCTGCAATGCAAGCTCATCCTTTGTTTCTAGTGCTACTGTGTTTCTATTTGAACTTTGAATAGGTGGAAAGAGAAATAATTTTTCTTCATTTCTTCTTAAGGTTACGCAGATACAGAGTCCTAGGGAGTAGCAGCTCGGACTCAGATCTTATCTCCCGTCTGGCTCAAATCCTACAGAATGGATCTCAAAGACCAAGGAGTTCTACCCAGTCTAAGAGTCCAGGATCTCCACATAGTCCAAAAACACCACCCAAGAGCCCTGTCATCCCCCGACGCAGTCCCAGTGCCTCCCCTAGGAGCTCTTCTTTGCCCCGTACTGCCAGTTCTTCTCCGTCCCGGGCTGGGAGATCCCATCATGATCAGAGGAGTTCATCCCCGCATCTTGGGAGGAGTAAATCACCTCCTAGCCATTCAGGCTCCTCATCTTCTAGGAGGTCTTGCCAACAAGAGCACTGCTGCAACAAACCAAGCAAGAATGGTCTTAAAGGGTCTGGCAGTTCCTTCCACCATTCCCCAAATACTAAGACTCCCACAGGAAAGAGCAAATCAACCACTAAGCTTAGCAGATAGGAACTGGGCCTCAACAGGTATAAAGTCTCCTCCTAAATCTGATGCATGTTGTGTCTGTGTACTGTGTATTAAAAAAAAAAAAATCAAAAAAAGTGTATTAAAAAAAAGGTGTTGAATCTGCACATTTTAAAGAAAGTAAGCATTGTAAACTATTCATAAGAAATCATTCTGTGTAAATAAGTGGCCAGGCTTTACCTAAGAGCAGGCAGCAAGCAGATCGACAAGAGGGGAAGTAGAGACCAGGAAAAGAATGACTAGATAGTCGAAGAGGTGCAATGTGTTTAGAGTAAAAAAGTATCTCTAAGGTGAGTGTTTTAAAGGGATATTTATCTTGATGTTTTTTGTTTACCTAGTTAGAAGATTTGGCCTAATTATTTAAGGCCTTACATACACAGGAGTATGTAAGAAAACCTGAAATGATTATTCCCAAAATGATGTCACCACTCGGGAGATAAGTTCTGCTCAAGCTTGGCTTCGCAGTTTTAAAAAAGCACACAGAAGATGATGGTTTTTGTACCTTATAAATTTCTTTCATTTTGAGCTGCACTTCTCTCTTGAGTCACTCAGTGCTCATCTTAGCCCCTATCTATCATGGCACAGATTTTTTTTGCCTAGGGAAGTATCATATACCTTGTCCCTTCTTAGCACCAACGACATTAAAAAAATTACTAAATTTGCCAAGATGTTTTTGTATCTGTATTATTTAGAAATTTAGTAGTAATCAGGATCCAAGAAGCAAATTCAAAGTTCTACAACATACATTTCTTTGGGAGTCATAGTGGAGTTTGGTAGAATTTGGAAAAGCATTCCTGTCCAGGAAATGAGAGAAAAGAGATGTATGCACTTCACTGGATGTTGCAGATTTACAAGAAAATGCAATGTAAGTTCGAAAATAATTAGAAAATGGAAGTACCTATTTTTCTGCCTTTAATTCAGCTGAAAAAAATAACCTCTCTTTTTGCTAGCTTTTGTTTTTCCATTAGTTATGGATCACCTAAACCACAGATCCTGCCGTGCAAAGACAACTACCAACCAAGATTTGGTTTTTTTGATAATTTATTTTCTAAAATCATGAAAGAAGAAACAGAGATGAGGAGATTGTCTACTTTGTGAACTTGGTAGGTTATAGGTGACAGAAATATACTTAACACCCTTACAAAATCTAGTCAAGAATATTACTCATCAAAGCAAAATAGAAAGAAATCTGAAATACTTTCTGTGTTGGATTCTCGTAATTTTTTTGCCCAAATGTTGTTTTGATCAAGCTTTGTTGACACTCAGTGAAGTCCATAGTGTGTAATTCCTCCAACTTTATTTGGTAATTACTTAATAACCTCTTGTGCCCTACAGGATCTCTGTAGGGAATGAAAAGGCATGGCACCTTTTGCTGTATTCAGAAAAGAAAAGTGGGTTAGAATAGTAACACACAAGAATGCAAGCCTGAGAAAGATGCAGCCATCTCTCCCTCACTGTTCCTGCTGTGGGGACACTGGGTGCACAGGAGACTTGTCAGTTACTGATCTGCTTGCTGTAGTCATATGCCTCTCCAGCCAGCATCTGTGCTTTTTTATTTAACCTCTGCCAAATGAATACCTTTGGATTAAAAAGGGAATATTTTGTCTCTGAGCTAACACATTCTAATGCTGCATTAAAGCTGCCCTAGAGCTGCACTGAATTTCACTCGCTTTGTCAAACTGTGTTGTTTTTTTCCTCCTTTCTTACTATGAGTATGTATATTGTTTCCCATACGTTATGTAGCACAGTGGGGAACCTTAATTTCATTCAGGTTTCAAGCACTACAGATGAATGCAATAGGTAGGATATACCTGCTTTTTCTGAAGAAACTGTACCATTGGAAAGTCCTATTCCTTTGTATTATATTGTATAATAGGTGCTATACCAATAATTGCATGTCCTCATGGTAAATTATATAATATAAATATTTATATATATACATATATGTATATGCTTATATATACGCGTTCTTTCTCATTTTTCATTTGTAATTTATGGACCACAAATAATACAGTTCCCTTTCTGTTAGCTCCTGTGTACTTACATCTTCTATTTCCCCCCAAAAAATTCTGGAATGCACAAATTCTAATAGCCTTTATACCTTGGTACAAGACTGAAGGACTGCTGATTTCTCAACCAGCCGATGATTTGTCTTGCAGCTTGCTTTTCTTTCTTTATAATTTTATGTGTGCATTTGCATATGGAACAAGAACAAAGACTCAAAGGTATTTTTATTTTTTATTACAAATAGGTCTTGTGGTTACTCATTTTTATTTCATAATGTGAGTTCTTAATTGTGAATACTTTGTCATATAGGAACAAACACTCAGTGAATACCTAACAGATGAATGTGACAACAAATCCCATCTTTTTTTTTTCCTGTTTTCCATATTTCCTTATGGTATACCGTAAGAAAGAATTTGGTCATATTGTGATGTTTTTGCCCTGGGCATTGCTGGAATTATTTGTTAAGGTGGTGTGGCAGCCCATGATTATTTTTCCTTATTTTTGCAAAGCATTTATTATGGTCTTGTAAGCTTATTCCTACATTACATGGTCAGTTTTAGTCAGTACCAACTTGTTATGCATCCTTGCCTGAAATGCTGAAGTTGAGGTGTTTATATTTTCTCTCTAATGTAGCAGGATCCAGAAACAGGTAATTACTTTACAGCTGAGAAAAAATATAACACCGAAGTTATGTTTTGTTTGGTTTTTTTGGTGTTTTTTTTTTTTTTTTTTTTTTTTTTTTTTTTTTTTTTTTTTTTTTTTTTTTTTTTGTGTTGTCTTCAAAGTACAGGCTTGTCCATTGTTAGACATGACTATGTAAAATAAATCAATGCTGTAGAAATTCACTTGTACTTGAACTACTTGCCAATATAAAAATAGTAAGCTATTGCAAAACAGAGAAAAAGATATCAGTCACAATTGATGACCCAGGCTTCTTTAGGTGCAGAAAAAGGTAAAAGGACTGTATATCCCCAGTTGCTTTTTTGCTGAGGATTCAAGAGGATTTAATGAGAAAATCATGCAGATATAAATGGAGGAACAATTGTGAATAACTTATTTTGAACTACTTGCTCTTCTTGATTTTTTTATTGCTTGATACCCTCCCCTCAAAAGTTTACAGAATTGCTTACTATAGTCTAAGGTAGAAATCAGTTACTGTAGTTAGGTAATGGTCAGCTGATCAACTCATACATAAATATTAGCTTAATATTTCTAGAGGGCCTTTGTAATCATTAAGGACTCTGTAAGCTTCAATATTTGAATATGCAACTGGCTCTGCAGAAAAACACCAATGTACACGTGTGTGGCCCTTACACAGAGTGTGTATGAATGGTTTATGGAGGGCTTTCCGCAGCACATTTTCAGGGATAGGGAAGGTTTTTCTCCATTGTATGAAATGGTTACAGTTACTCTGCATAGTGCACAGAAGCTTACATAGGGATATTATCTGGGAAATGAGAATGTCCTCTTCAAGCCTCCATTTCTTTGGAGGGCAGTGGGGTGGAGCCATGACATGTAGCAGATGCAGATGCTGCACACACATTTCCTCTTTATGGTGTTTTCTGTGTTGTGGCCAGCACTTTGGGGCATCTTTTAGAGAAACAGAGGCATGAAGCCTTAAAACTACAATAGAACTTGAAATCACTGAACATTTCACAGAAACTTTTGTGCTGCAGTATTGCATGATAAAATCAATCTAAGTTGCAATCTCAAAAATATGTATTAATATTAATTAACCTCCTTATTAATTGCAAATGCCAGTTACTACTAGGTAATACCATGCTAAAGTAATAGATAGTATGATACAGTAAAGCAATGCTGGCAAGTTGTATGATGCTAGGCACCTATCTACTACTTGAGCAGGATTGATAAGCATAGAAATTTTCACTGCTCAAAGGCAGGAGCAATATGAGGTCTTCACTGCTAGTTATATATAATTATACAGGAGGCAAACCCCTGCAGAGTGATACAAGGCATTCATTGTAGCCACTAGCCACATCCTGTCTTGGGAAATCTGGACATATTCTTATCTTGAAGTCTGCATGTTTGAGATCAAGCTTTCTTGCATACCTCACTAAACGGTCTTGATGTACAGGGGAGAATCTGGTCCTATATGTTTAAAAATAGCTTGAAATATTTTTCATGTGAAAAAGACTTGCAAGAGCTCTTGCATCTACGATTTGTAGTATTATGGTGTTAACTACAGCTGGGAAAACACAATTTTGATTTTATATATATATATATAAAAATACACATTTGTACGTAAGTGTATCTGCATATACACTGATATAGATACTGTATATTATATAGAAATATATATATACATACATACATATGTGTGTATATACATATAGATAGAAACAGTGTCAGCTATTCCATCCTGTTTACTGGAATTCATTTGTCAGAGTGAGACGAGGCCTGTTTTGCTTTGATTTACTCTGGTCTCCTCTTCCTCTACTACAATTTCCCTATGCCCTAATTCTGATTCTGTGTCTTTCCCACATTACAAGGCCTGATTCTGTAGTCCTGCTTGGGCAAAACTCCCATAAGTCCTTCTTATTGAAATAATGTTTTGCAACAGTTGACTCTAATACTCCTAAAAATTTTTTTCCATTTTCTCTTCAATGAGACTGTACATAAAGTCAGACTTACAGTGTAGTCTTTTTCTTGTAAATGGAATTTTTCCATAAAGAATTGGACATTTTTATGGAACACTAAGAAGCATAAATTCTGGTAAGAAGAAAGTGATTATTCCAATTTCTTTAAAGGGTCTAATGACAAACTAGGGATATGTGCCTCTAGTTTTTATCCATATGTTAAATGAGAAAGTAATTTTCTGAAAAGGAATAGGAGAATAAAGGAGAGCTCAAAGTCAAACTGGTTTCTAATTATAGGCCTAGAATATATTAATTTTTTTATGCAGGACTGATCTTGTGACGTGACAAGAGCCATGTCTGTCTTGTCATTTTAAGTGAGCAAAGGTCTGGTTAGGTTAACAAACACCATGATTCCCTATGGTGAGCTCTCTATATGCTTTTCCACTATTAGGAGTGGTCAGAGAACTGTCAGCTATATAAATGAATTGCTGACAGTAATTGCTGGCAATTATTCATGATTCCTTTCTTCAACTGGTAAAAGCTTTGGGTGCTCATTGGATGGTGAACATGGCAGTGCCTGGTTAGTGGTTGAACTTAGATCTTGGAGGTGTTTTCCAGCCTTGAGAATTCTGTGATTCCTGTTTCTGAAATTTGTGGAACAGGGCATAATATTTTATTCTACTTCTTTTAGCTAATCAAGTAGGCAGTGAACTGGGAGGCTTTGTTTGCTGTTTTTCTTTTGGCTCAAATGTCATTGCTTGTGGTTATTACAATTTTCAATAACCATGAGCATTGGCAAATGGAAGTGAGGTTCAGTGCTTTGACTACTACATGTCATACACAGGCACAAGTCATACATTTTTTAGCTAATACATGCAAATCGCACAAACATGCACCTCACACGAGAATACCTCAGGTGTCTGCTGGAAGCCAGTCTTCCTTTGCCCTCCGTATAATATTTGTGAAAGAGAAATTATGTAGAAGTCAGCCTGGATTATGTAATAATTGCCTGGAACTATCTTAGGACATAGTCAAATGCGAAAAAGTTTTATCACTCATTTTCATATGGTTTAAATAATCATGTGTAAATAATCAGGCTTTTAAATATTCATCTTTGAGAGGTTTTTTTTTTTGTTTGTTTGTTTGGTTGATTTTTGTTCATTTTTTAAAGAATAATTCACAGGAGTCTGTTGTTTCAAAGGCTAATATATTAACTTGGCAATTACTCTTGCCATCCAGGTTTGAACATGTAGGCTGATTTTACTCTCCATTGATGGTAACACATTCCTTTTAAACAGGAATAGTGACAAACCCAAATATTAGCATATATTATTAGTCATTCATGTATTTTGCTTCTGTTCCTCCTCTACATTAAGAGCTTGGATCTTGGGAATTCTTGCTCTTCTTGTGCAGGTGAAATTTCATTAAAATTAATATAGGGTCCTGTTTTATTGAGACTTTTTCCCCTGATTAGGGGCTGAAAGGATAAACTCACTTTTTTTTTGTTGTTATTATTATGACATGCCTTTTGATCTCTACTCTTCTGTATTACTGCTGAGAACCAGCTTTGGCCAAGAGTACAATGTGGTTTCTTCTAAAACAATACCACGAGTGTGCTACTCATGTGAAGTCCTGATCATTGACAAGTGTCTGTGGGAATTGAGCTGGAATTAATTTGATGTTTGTTTTGAGATCACTTGATCTTTGACCTAACTTTTATGTAAAGGACCTATAGTAACAGCAGAATAGCTTGCTCCAAAAGATGCAGTGTAATTAGTTTGGTCTGCCTGACTTCAAATCCTCTTAAACCTATATCTGCTGCATGGCAGGCAAGGTCATAAAGGTTTGACACAAAGTGAGGTGGGATTTTTTTGGCTATTTCACATCTTTTTCCTCTGACTGGAGATCTGGATTGTTGCCAAGCAGCCTTCTCTGCATCCTCTTTACTTTTGTTGGCTAGAAAGCAAGATTGGAAATTCTTCCCCAGCTTTTTAACTTTCTTTCTACAGAGTCAGCCCAGAGACAAGTTGCAGTGCTTGTGCTAACAGATGCCAATTTCCAAATGCTTTCCTATGAATATCCAATCTAGTAAATTAAGAAAATCACCAGCAATGCCTTCAGACAAGTGCTGACTTTTTGAAGCTGCCAACCAATGGCTGCTAATCTAAAATCTCTGGGCAATACCTCAGAGAGTGAAATCCGTGTATGAATTAAAAATACTATGTTGTCAACCCATAAGAAATCAAGTACTCACTAGTAAAGTCTGCAGCATGATTAAATCAAATGGAAAGTGGTTCCAAGGTCATTTTTTACCACTGAGGAAGACAAATGTGGAGTCCTTCAAATTTTCTTGCTCAGTAGTTGCAGTTCTCTTCCCCTCCTTGGAAATCTTCTAAGCCATTCTTTTCATTTAAGTTTGCTCAGGCACCCAAGAGCATAAAGAGTTAATGCCCTTGTAATGGTCATTTGTACATAAAGTTGTAATTATTTATTTTCTCATTTGTACCATATCAAGGCTTTGTACAATGTTTAAGTTTTGTTTTCAAATTATTTTGTATTTTATTTTTATAAACTGGTTCTAAATAAAATATTCATTCAGCATGCAAAACTTCAATTCCTAATTGTGTTTGTATAATGATTCATTAATTTATAAAGCTTCAGTTGAATTTTTTTCAATATTTTTTTACTATTGTAACGCTGTAATTCACATGGCTGAAGTACTTTGGCAGTGATTATTTTTTTCCTCTGTTACAAGAAAGCAAAAATCAAGCATGTGTTGATATTACTGCAGCATGAATCAGATGTTCATACTGCAAATCAGAATGATTGGATCAATGACTGGAAGTATAAATGATTTAGTAGGTTCCTGTGTTGCATATCAATAAGAACAGAAAAACTCAAATGGCCTCCTCGGAATCCTCCCTTTCTTGCTTTTATCCCTTCTATCTGTATTCATCTAAACAATAAATGATTGGCACAGTTAGATCAGGTCAATTTAAGTAACAATATGGTGGTTCTGAAAAGCCAGCTGCTGCTAGCTTTTTTCTATTCAAAATTGTAGTTTTTTATTTAGTCGGAGGCCACTATAATTGACTTCTTTTGGGGATAATCAGGTGTCTGGATGTTGTCACTGAGCTTTTACAGCCTCTTGAGACCTGTCATCCTCTGTACAATACAATTAAGTGGCAGATAGCAGAGAAACGAGTGAACGGAAGTTGTTACTGAATCTGAGAATCTTGTGCTATGGAGAAATGCAGTGATGAGCTACCAGTTTCTCTCGTTTCCTCCAAGATCCTTTTATTTATCTTTCTAGTAAAATTAGGTAAAAGTAGAGTGCAATATCATCACACAATTTATAATTGTGGTTTATGTGCCTGCAGGTCTTAGTCCTGTGCTGTGGCAAATATTGCCTGCTCGTTGCAGGCAGAACAAGTTTTTTAGGGAAGTCCAGGAGAATTGGATAAAATTTCCTGGATCTCTTTCTCACTACTACCACTGTTACGCCTTGTATGTAAGGCAAATTAAAAGCAAGCTCTGCCTTTTTTCAAATCATTGGCAGTATTTTCATTAAGGTTCATGATCAGGTCATCAGCCCTTGTTATTTATACTAGTAGCTTAAATAGCTTCACACAAAAGGAAATACACTGGGAATTCATTTACTCAGTAACAGTCCAAGAAAATGATGTTTCACCTTCTGTTAAAAGCAGCCAGAAACTTAATGTCATGGCTTTTGGATAGTGTGTGCTTTTGGTGCCTCTAACAGAATCATCACTTGATCACAGGAGCATGTGTAAAGAAATAGCAAACCAGCTGTATTAAGTGGAAGATGAAAATAAGAAATTTGCCCACTCTGTATTGGCAAGAGGTAGCTCAGCTTCTTTCCTTGTTTAAAGTATGTAAATGTGGATCATACCAGAAATGGAAGAGAGATTTTGGTCTGGCTCCAGTATAGATTAGCAGTACAACTGACAGACTGGGAAAGAAGCAAGATTGGAACAAAGGTGCTGTAGCAGATTGATGTTGAGGTCTGGTCATTGCCTGGCTTGTCTTTAATTACACAGAAGATCCAATCTGCCGATTCTGCTCTTAGGATCTTGCTGCACTTTTCTGTACTTGCACTGTAGTTCATTTAAATCAGTACTCGAACGTCAGAAAGCCGTGTAGCAGACACACCTCAGCTCTCCCTAGAAATGCTGTAGGATGTGACATTCAAGAATTGACAGTTGCAAAAAGAATTGAAACATCAAAAGAAAGGTAAGAGCTGTTGAAACTTGGACAAACTCAAACTGTCACAGAAGGACCAGGTAATGTTAAGATCACATTTTGCTAATTTACCTGGAATGTCATGGTGGCACTAATTTGCTTCTTTGTCCATGAAAACAAAATACAAAAGACCCTGCTCCAGGGGAGTCCATTTGTAGTGGATGGGGAGAAATAATGCTTCCACCGGGTTACTTTGTAAAGCTTGTAACAACATAGACTCAGAAACCTGACTTAAAGGATTAGGTCTTTCTCATTCTTCAACCCAGCAAACACATACAATCTCCTTTTGTTATGGTTAACCTAAAAAGGAGAACCTTTTCTTCAAGGCATCAATCCCAATTGAGAGTGTGTTGTACAAGTGTACTTTTTACTTTTGTGAGATATTTGCTTCTTTTACTGCATCTACGATACCGAAGAGAAATGCTTACACCTTGACTGCCCTGTGTTCACGTTTTAGTAGGCAGCAGTGGTTGGTTTCTGAAGCGCAGGAGTGTGAAATTGGTCCACCATAATGGTGTAAGGGCAGAAATGAAGAACTGAAATGTATGTTTTCATATGGTATAGCGTTCTGTCAAGGCTGACTGCAAAAATTATGTACTTCACCCTATGATTACATATTCTTATGCTTCTAGGAGAGGGACAATTAGGTTGCCATTCTCTGCATCAGTTGTGTTTGCTAAATTCCTGCAGCAGGAGTGCTTGTGCAAACTAACTGTAAAACTAGAGGCAGCTAGTCATTGCTATAGGCCAAATTTATCTGTGGAACTTTAATGTTAGTGATAAATGCTTAAGAAGTCAACCTGCATGATTTTTCAGGTCACTGGACAAAATTGCAGGTAAGTGTTTTTGTTTCCCCTCCTGTATGGACACCAGATGTAAGAACACAGCACCTCAGCTACATCTGAATTGAACAATGTAGAGCGGCCGTATTTCTCTATTTTAATCGTGTAACAAAAAACAAGACTACCCTGCTAGTGCAGTAAAATGAAATGTCTCTTGGGAGAAGGTGCATTTAACAAGCTGAGAATGAACAATAGGCAAGTGGAGTAATGCTGTATGAATTCTGAGAATTAGATTCATGAATCAACAGCTCAGTCCTAAACCTAAATCATTCCTAGAATAAGCAGGTATCTTAAACTCTTACTGTGATGCCTTGCACAGCTCAGATTTAAAAAAACCCAGGAGCCAAGCAAACACCTACAACTTTATAATTATTAGAAAAGGGAAGTACTTAAAAAACCAACTACTTCTGAGGTTTGTTTAATGAAAGAACTAAGCAACTTGTATAAGACAGCTCCTAGTGGTCAGTAACCACGTTACTTTTTTTACCCCACTCTCATGCCTTTTATTTTTCAAAAGGTGACATGAAACAAAGGATGATACAGACAAAAGTCTTACTCAAAATAAATGTTTGTTTTTTTAAGAGAGTAAGAGGATAAAGAAAAGAGAAGAACATTATTAGCCCACTGCAACAGAGTTAACAAACAGGAGACTGATAATTAGTGTTTAATGCCACCTATAGCAAAACTGTTTCCCACTGGGAAAAACACGGGAGGCAAGTCCATTGTGCTCCTTCAAAGTCACAGGCCGGAGCAGAACATACAACAGCACCTAACACACAGTCACTTTACATATATTCAAGTTTTTACACATCTGCAAAGCAGAAGTAGTAGCAGCCATTTGGATGTTCTTTCTTAATGGTTCTCACAGGGGGCCTAGGAAACTCAGAGGGACCTGGTTCTTGTGACATGGAGCTGGAGCTGCAGCTGCTGCTTCTGCTGCTGCTTCCAGCTGCCTGCACTCTACCTCTGTCCTCAGCAGGGGAGATCTGGGGGGAACCTGGGCTCAGGTACCCAGCTGTGGTCTGAGTAGAGGCAGTGGCCTGTGTGGTCGGGCCAGTGTTGTTTTTCACATAGACGTTTTTGATAGCAACAAGCGTATGCGCCATGATACTGATGCTGTTACTCAGATCCTGCATGCCTTGCTGCAGCAGCCGAAGATTGTGGTTGACACTGTCAAAGCCAGACTGGATCACCTGTATCTGGGTCTGCTGAATCTGCAGTAGGTCCTCTTCAGTTATTTCATTTTGGTCTGCCTGGGACCTGCCTTTTGTTTTGGCTTTTCCTTTCCCAGAGGAACTACCGCCTGATGTCCCCAGAAAAGGCAGTTCTTCTTGACTAGGTGAAACCACAAACATGTCCTCAGAGCTTTCTTCTGGCTCTACCACCTTCACTACTATCTCTTCTTTGAGGTTCATCTTCTCAAGACTGGATTGATGAGATGGGCCAGGATTGCCATTAAACCCTAGAGGAGAGGGGGGGGGGGGAAGAGGAAAATCAAAGGAGAACCAGTGAGAAACTTCATAACCTTGGTGGTCAGTGAAACATGTTCTCATCCACTAAGCACTAATATTAGTGCTTGAAACAAGACTCTTAAACTCATACTATGTTATCTTTGATGCTTTTAGAATACACCTTGATGGGTGGAAAAACCCTAAATATGCATTCACCAACTAACCATATATCTGCATACTACAGATTCCTTACCAGCCCCATCACAGAAGCTGGACTTTAGTTTCCAAGAGACAAGGTTCACTGCAAGCTTATTTCATTTCATGTGCACCTAGTAACCAGTAAGAGCACTGATGAAACACTATGATGGCAAGAAATCCCTTGGTATTGAAGATGATCACTTCAACGTGCTAGCACGATGTCTCTGCCATGTAGTAAGTTATGTACTTCCAGCACTTTGTACTGGCAAGAACTGCACGCTGCCATGGCTTTTTCATTTGCAAGAATAAGTACTGCAACGGTGAAGATCGATGGCGGGGTCTAAGGGCTGGAAGATGGGCAGCATCTGCTACAGGACAGGGGTTTTGCTGCTGGGTGCTGTTTTGGTGCACTTTTATAACCCACAGCACAAAGCATCACAGTTCTGTGTGCGTGCGTACACGTCTTGCATTTCCAAGGAGAGAAGGTGGCTATCCGAACCAGACATTCCCAGCGGGGCTGGTGCCCGCAGCGCCCTGCGCGCAGCAGCGGGCGGGCAGCGCGGACCTGCCGCGCAGAGCGGGGCGCGCCGGGCGGACTGTCCGGGGCGGTGCCGCGGGGGTCGCTGCCGCACTCACCCATGTCCCCCACGACGGCGCCGGGCAGCTCCAGCGTGTCGATGCCGCCCACGATGGGCACGGCCTCGGCGGGCAGCAGGGAGCCATAGGCGCGGCGCTGGCGGCGGGGGGGCGGCGCGGGCGGCAGCTCCTCGGGGGCCAGGAGGAGGCCGAGGGCGGGAGGGCCGGGCGGCCCGCAGCCCTGCGACAGGCGGCACAGCTTGCTGCGGTCGCGGCGCTTCAGGTCCCGCCAGCGCTTCTTCAGGTCCTCCACGTCGCGGGGACAGGCGGCCACCGGGTTCACCTTGTGCCGGATCAGCTCCCACACCTTCCGCTTCTGTCCTGGGGATGCGCGGCCGGGTCCCGCCGCGAAGAGCAGCTGCTCGTGCTTCAGCACCTGCTCGATCAGCACCTCCGTCTCCGCCTCGTTGAAATTCGCCTTGCGCCGCTTGGGCGAGTCCTCGGCCATCCTCCGCCGCGGGGGCCGGCGGGCGGGCGGGCGCGGAGCAGCGGGGGGGGCGCCGCTGCCCTTCCCTCCGTCCCGGCCCGCGGGGGCCGCCGCCGCCGCCGCCGCCGCCGCCGCCGCTAGGCCGGGCCCCGAGCCCTGCCGGGGAAGCAAATACCGCGCATGAGAGGAAAAGACGCGCACGGACCGGCGCAGGCGCCCCGTGCCCCGCGTGTTGACATGGGGAGGGGGCGCGGCCCCCGCCCGCCTGCCCGGCGGGAATCCCCGCTCGGCGCCGCCCCCGCGGGAAGGGGGGACACGCCGGGCCCGCCCCCGGCGCGGGCTGTGCGCGTGCTCGGCGGGAGCGCGGTCGGGAATGGCGGCGGTTTTGGAGCTGCTGCTGCGGGAGGAGGTGCCGGTCAGCGCCGTGGTGCGGTGGCTCCGGCACGGCCCCGGCCACCGCCCGGCTGAGGTAACGCGCGGTGGGTCGTCGGCTCGTCCTCCCCCAGCGCTCCGGCTCCCGCGGGGCCGGGCCCGCCGCCGCGCCACTCCCCCAGCGCCCTCCGCCACCGCGGGCCGGGGCCGAGCGGGAAAGTTTGTGCCGCCCGGCACTGGGGGCGGCCGGTCCGCGCTGCTGTGAGGGACGGAGCCGCGCGGGTCGGCCCGGGGCCCCGGTCGGTGCCGTTCTGCCGCCGCGATCTGGGGCCGAGGTCCCGTCCAACAGCGGCGGCACCGCCCCCGGAGCGGGCGGGCTTCGGGCAGGGCGGCGGGAAGGCGAGGCCGCCGGCGGGATCTACGCTAGGAGCTGCCCGGCGGGTGTGGGAATCCCGCTGACATCCGCGGGGCTGAGCCCGCCGGGGCCGGCGCACAGCGCGGGGAGGCGAGGGGCGGCAGCGCCGCTGGTCTGTCCTGAGGAAACGCGGTGACAGCGCGGGGTGCCGCTTCCCGCGCCTTTGTCGGGGAGGGTGGCGGTGAGAGAAAGACGAGGCGCTTAGCAGGCAGCCAGGGCTTGGCGGTGGCTCTGTGCAAGCGCCAGCGCGCCTCCCGGCTGGATGCTTGGCCCTCCTGGATGTTGGGGAGGACCTTTGCTGGGTCTGGGAGAAGGTGCATGTTGGCTGAGTTTTGTAATGGGAAATGCCTGGACGATTTGCGTTCCTGTGGAAATAAAAACATTGTAACCAGGGATGGACTAGGACTGCCTATATTTCACTCATAACAGAGATACAACTTGTTTTTAAAGCATTTTCTGCCTGAGCCGCTTGTGGTGTGTTACCTAGTGTTAAAATCAAGACTCACTGGTGTCACCCACATGAGTTAGCTGGGTATCATCGTCATCCTAAACGTGTGTGGGAAGAATGGACTAGCAGCTTTATGCTTTGTGGTATTTCTTTAACTGTGACTTGCAGAAGCAGATCTGTGGTGGTGAAGAAGTTTGAGATGCTGGCAGCTCAGCTAGCACTGCATGGGCAAGGGGTGAGGAGGCCAAAAAGTTTGCTCTTGCAAGGGAATTGCTCACTGCCTTTTTCTGCTGGGAGCAGCTCAGTTATTTCAGCATGAGAAAGCAAGTAGGAAGTTTGCAGCTGGCAGCTGTTAACAGGTTACTGTTACCCAAACGTGGAGGAAACCAAACCTCAGTTAACTTGGACAGAGAAAGATGACTGAATGCAGGTTGTGCTCTGAAAAGCTACAAAAAGTACCTGACCTTGTATATGGTATAGGCTGTAATTATCTTGTGCCTCTATGCTAAACCCAAGGGGGCACCCAAGGAAGTGATAGGCTTCGTCTTGCTCTAGCTTTCGTGGCAGTTTCAGACAGGAGATGGCCTTCTGACACCTCACTGGGGCTGTGCTCTGACCTGTGTTGGAATCTCATGTTCCTCCAAGAAGCTGATTTGGTCTCACACTTTCAAATATGAATTTCAGCATAGGTATTGAGGACTGTGGGAGTCCAGTCATAGGCATGCTTTCACTGCCTTCTTTCATGCAGAAAACCACCTTCAGAGACTGTGTTTGCTTTTTTGACTTTTCGTCTAGTCAAGGTGTTAATATAAATTAACAGAAGTTAATTTATATATGTTATATATATATACAATATATATAAAAATTCTATAATTTGTATATATAATATATAAATTAACAGGAGTTAATGCAGTGATCTTAATATTAGTAAGGAATAAGTTGCTGCCTATGAGAACTTCTGTTGTGGCAAATGTTGCTGAATCCCATTTAGAGGAAACAGAAACCTGGTGCAGTGTTATGAACAAAAGAATTTTTACCAAGTTTATAAAACTTTGAACTATGCATGTAACATGAAGTCTCTTTTTGTTTAGATTTACCCTTGTAAGAACACCACCACTTGTTTAGATTTTGGATGTGTTGAGTCAGTGGTGGGGTTTTTGTTTGTTTAAGTTTCCCAAGTATAAACTTCATTTACCTTAAGGTTTCAGAGTCTCTGTTTAGACTTCTCTGAGGCCTAAAGGGAGGAAAATTATTTAATTGAAATGGAAGAGCAGCTTTGGTCTTGTATTTGGCACTGCAGGACTCTGAGTGCTTAGACAGTTGTTATAGCACCCCTCTGTGGGAGCAAGTGGCATTCATAGACAAATAGGGGAAGAGAAGTCGCAAGGCAGAGAAGCTGCAGATTTTAGATTTTTCTATTAGAATTAACTGCTTTCAGTATTGATGTATTTGAAATGCTGAGTTTAGGGGTGCCAGTTGGTCCAAGTTCTCCCTGGCCATAGCTTCAGGGAGTATTACTGGTGTTTCCATGGAACGGTTCCACTGTTTCCCAGTCAGAGACCAAAGTGAATTACTCCATCTGGAAACTTGTGCCAAAATTGCTTGTGTGAAAGCTGATCTTCAGATCTGTGACCAGTGCTAAAGTTGCTTGAATGTCAGTGACCTATTTTACCAAGTCATGTTGTTTTTTATTGTGTATCACAGTCCCACGGTTACCGCTTGAATGAATCTAAGTACATGGACAGAAAGAAAAAGGTAGCTTCTTTTATATTAATTCTTTGTCCTCTTTTCTTGTAGGAAAACCACATCCACGACAAGCTGGTATCTCTTAGTTTGCTTCAGAAAGATTTTGTGCCTTTTCTGTTAAATTTTTTAAGGGAGCAGACCAGCCAGATCCTGACTAATGGACCCTCTACTCCTGCTAAAACACCTAATTCCAAGGCCCATGGGAGCCAAAGGACAGGATCAGAAAGGAGGGCAGGCCATGCAACCAGCAGCCGAGTGCAGCTCTTTTCCCAAAGGACTTCAGTGACTACCTGCACCACAGATACCAGCTTTTCTCCTGCTGCAGCATCCAGCAGTTCCTCTTCCTTTTCTGGGTCAAACCTGTCTAGCCCTTGTAGTGATTTCCCTAGCGTGGTGTCCAGTAGCAGCCCGAGCTTTGGGTACAGCCCTGTGCTTCACCACGGGGAGAAGCGATCATCTCAGAAGGCCAGCCTGGGGAGCTTCCTTACAGCCACGCCAGAAGCCCTGCCAGTGAGACGAGGCCGAAGGAAAGGAAACAGCTCAGCTGGTGCTTCTGGCCGGCAGGTAGCTCGGGATCTGGGGCGTTCCCTTGCTGAAGAGGAAGATGGAAAGAATGACAGTGTATCGTGGAGCGGAGGGAGAAGGAAACGGAGTGAAGTGCCTCTTGATTCTGCCAGATCCCCACCCAGCCAGCTAAACCTTAACAACTTGGAGGAGTTCCCACCCATGGGTGCTGCCTCTGGCTGGACAAAGTAAGAGCAAGTCTGCCTTGCTGTCTCATTTGGATTGTGCTGCAGGTTACTGTTTCTTGAGTAGCTCATCCTGTTGTGCGTGTCCAGATGCAGAAGATCCTGTAAATACACAATGCCTGGCTCCTTGGTCAGAACTGCTTTGTTACGGTCACCATGTAGGGAGGGGAATGTTGCTTCAATGCGTAGCCAGGTTTTCCACTCTTTGAACTCACCCAAGACACCCCTTTAGCCTCTCACTTGTGATGCTGCCTGCAGCTTACCGGTGAACGGTCCAGTTCATGTTAAGCTGAGAACATCTTTGTCCTTGCATGTTCTAACAACTCAACGTTATCTCAGCTCTTCACATTTCTCATTTAGCACAATAGCAATTGTTAAGGAAGAGCAGTCTTAGAAGGCTCTTCAACTCTACTTTTAATATCAAAGAAGGTTTTGGATTGACAATCTGTGGCTTCTGGCAGCAGATGTTAGTATGCAACTTTGTGCTGGATTTTTTTGCTGGACAAAATAGCTAGCTGTATGCTTGGTCTGCAGCAAGCCCTGGTCGCCTTGGTGACTTTGGCTTAGCTTCTGGGCAGCTGCTTGTGTTGTGGTTGCCTCAGTCCTTTTATCTTTCTCTTCTACTCTTTAAAATCCTCTCTGGCAAATATAATGTCAGGCTGTTTACTCCATATATCAGTCATTGGTCTCCGAAAGTAGGACTTTCAAAATTGTAACTGAAAATTACAAAATTAGTGTGTCAGCCTGTACAGCAGATCCAGGTGCTGAGTCCAGATGGTGCTCTAGATGATATAGTGTGTTTCCAGCATAGACAGCAAATATCTCTTCCTCAATTACATTATGCTCAACTAGGAAAATGAAGGAGGAAGGAGGTCACAGAGTGTTCAGAAGTTGATGCTATAGGGATTTTGAAAACACTGTAGCAATTAATATTTACCAACCAGAAAATCCTTGAGAAGTGTAATGCTTTATGTTTCTGTATCTCATTTCCAGTTTTTTAGTGATTTTTTACTAGTTTATGGAACCTCTTCCTGAAGGATAAATCTCAGTAATTTATGCAGGAAGGATGAGTTTCCTTAAACTTAGAGGGCCTATTGTAACTTGAGAGCCTGAACTCTTACACAGACAGAAATGGATAATGGCACCTTGATTGGTTTTGGTGGTTTTTTCTCCTGGTCATCTTAGAAACTCATTCACCGTCAGTTTCTTACTATAATCGGGCATATCTTGTCCTCTCAAATTGGAAATGTTTGGAAGGGTCGTGTGGCACTGTGTTATCTGTTAATAAATTTTGCAGCAGGGTCAGCAGGCAGTTTTTAGCACTCTGTAGCTTCATGACTTTTATTCAGTGACCAGAAAAAAATCAATAACTATATATACAATTTAGAAATTCCATATCCTGACTCCATATCGGTTTTATTTTAGCATCAGGTTTCTCTGCAAGAGTTGCATGCATATCTGTCTTGATGTCTAATTTATTTTGTTGTTTAGTTGCATTTGTTTTTAGTGGCATTACTTCTCATTTTTTCAGCAAAAGCAAACCATCGAGGCGA